ACACACACACACACACACACACACACACACACACACACACACACACACACATGCGCGCGCGCGCGCGGACACACACACGCTGGCCTAAGCGCAAAAACGTCAGACAAACTTATAAGAACTTATTGAACGAAAAGACATTGCAAAATGATGACTGCATTCGACATCGAAAGACCACTCAACGAAAGAAGATCATCGAATAAAGGGGAAGCCTTCGAAGGAATTCAATAACAAAAGTTGAAATGAAAACCAGATTGCAGCTCAATCGCCGTCCATTCCACCCCCCCTCACCCCCGTCCGGCTTTGACTGCCTGGGCCACGACTTCACCTCATTCAACCTACCACCTACTTAAGTCTTCTACACTACTTTGCGGAATACCATCAACGACTTCCGCACGGTGATGATCACTACGAAAACGAACCTTCGGCGAACTTCGTCGAAGGTTTGCGCAACCATTTGCGCTGGTAAAACAACACAGGTCCATAAATGACGAAAGTGTTAAAATTGAGTACCGAAAACGGCACTGATGACCAACCATCCACGACACGACTGCGACACGCGAACAGGAAGAAGACAACCTGACGGACAAGTGCTTCGAACACCCCCAGGGAAGAAAGCACATTGTGCTTGACGACGACCAAACTAACTTCCGGACGACAGCAAACTAGGAAGGCCTCGATACTGTCTTCGCTAAGCACCTCCAATGGACACGGGAGGGCGCACCTCCCCATCGTTCCTTGCGCATCATCTCTTCGGTGCCTCCCCGCTTCAGCCTGCTCCGATATCTTGCTGCATTTCGATCCTCTTCGACTCTCCACTTCCACAACCACCCATCCTCACTGCGCACCCATCCTCTCCGCCAACGCATCCCTCAGAATCAGCGCGTCACAGGTTGACGACTCCATGCAAACAGGACGCAGCGGAGCATGCATACCGAGATCCACCCTGCGTCGGACGCCATCCGGTCCGACCTCCCACAAATGATTGTCGTCGAAGGGAATGTCAGCGTCGATCAATATGTTGTGGAGGATGCACACAACGATGAACTGTTGCGGCAACGTGTCCATGTTGCACTTCAAATTGTGCGTGCGCAGGAACAACCTCCACATGCCCTTCAATCTTCCAAACGCCCTCTCCACTGCTCCCCTCGCCATTTTGTGCTTGTTGTCGAACCGTGCCTCTGCGGGGTGCTGCGCAAGATCACCATAAGGGACGACAATCCATTCCGACAGGGGATAGCCGTTGTCGCCGAGCAAGTATCCATTCGTTCGGACAGCGAATGGCAGCATGACATGCGGGCCAGTGAAAAGTTGTCCAGACTCCGCGCGCTCCCATAAATTGGACAGATGTAACATCCTCATGTCATGCTCGTTGCCGGGGTAACCCATGAAGACGTCCAGTACACACAAATTCATGTCGACCACAACCTGCGCCTGCACAGAGAATCGCCTCTTCCGATCACAGTAGTCCTCCCCGTTTGCGTTGGCCGGTTTGTCGACGTAGATGTGGGTGCAGTCGATGCACCCATGGCAAGTTGGAAAGCCCTTGTCTGCAAACGCGCGCAACACGACCGCCTTCTGCAAGCTAGTGGGCCACGAAATCTTGTCCGGGTACGCAGCAAGCAAGGCGACGGTAACGTCTCGCACCGCCGTGATGGCAGAAGCCCTCCCGATGTCGAGGCTGCACGTTCCGCTGTCGTATGTCTCACCCGACGCCCACCTATAGAGAGCGTACGCCACGATGTGGTCAGGCCGCAAAGGCACCCTGTAAAATGTCACACGCCGTTGCGGGTATGGAGAAAGCGTTTCAGCGATTTTGCAGATGACATGTGGCGACATTCGGAGCTTGTCTCTGAAGTACTCGTCGGTGGCGTCGTCGCATTGCCGCAGGTCCTCCCAGGTGCCTCCCGTCCGCCGCTTCACCCACCAACGTGAAGTCGCCCTCGGGAATGCGCCGCTCCCCATCGCGTAACACACGTGGAGGACGGCGTCGGAAACTGCACCCAAGTCCAAGCCTTCACCGCTGCTCGGCAGCGCCGTCACCTTCCGTCGCGCCCGAGCAGCTGCTTTCATCTTCCCCTCGGTTCTCTCCACTTCACAACGATAGAGAACGACATTGACGGCCGCAGCGATAGCCGTCCTCTCATCTGTCGTCAATGCACCACCCCGGACACCGCCGTCAACAACCATCCCTGACGCCTCTTCCATCCACGACAGCGAACCGACGACAACCGCCAAAACTCCGCACACACAGCCATGTGGAACGACGATATCCCGCGTCGCTACAAAATTGTGGACGCCACCAATGCCGACGACGACAAGCTACGACGATGGCGACGTATGGTCGTACACGGGAAGGCATGCGCATACTCTACAGTCGAAGGCAATCAAACGGGCGTGTCATATGGACACGCCCACGGCCGCCACCCCCCCGCGCCCTAATCCGCATGGCTGACGTCCGACGCCTGCCTCCACTCGCACGCGCAAATTTCGAATTTTCAAATTTTGAATTCCTCCCTTGCGCGCCTTCTCGAAGCCGCTAATTTTTTTCCCTGAACGACGCCGTTTCTTGCACAGCGGCTCAAAAAGCTGGACCACACCAATCCAGACGGACACAATTGAGGACAGGCCGTGGTACACACATCCCGCGGCCGGTAATACGTATAGAAATCTGGCCGCGGGAGCCCCAAGGAATCGTCCTCGGGGGCCGACTCCGAGGATGAGTGGAACGAAGGCGTCGAAATCCCCCAACGACTCCGAGGAATCATCCTCTGGGCCCGAGGAAGCCCCGAGGAGTGTCGAACGAGCCCCTATGTTCATTCAATGATATATGTCAGGGACGCTGGACCCGTTTTCCAGCAGGTGCTGCTCCCCACCAATAGATCGGCGCAAAAAAAAAAAAAAAAAAAAAAAAAAAAAAAAAAAAAGGGAATGAATTTTATGTTGGAACATGGAAGGGTACAGAGAAGATCAACATGACCCTGCTGAAGAATGATGACTTCAGGCAATAGAGCCATTCAGGGCTCTCTGACTACGAGCCCACCATCCGTGCCTTCGCCTGCTTCTCTGGCAGGAGCACACCCCATGAGGAAAAAGAAAACGTAGGGCAGAAAAAGGAAGAAGGGAAAAAAAGAAAAAAAAAACAAGAGAGGGGAAAAAAATGAAATAACCGGCACAGAACTACCGTTCGCTTGCATTGAAGGACCGGTCAGCCCCATATCACTACCACTTGCAAGCTACATTCTCATAGGACGAAGAGGTTCGGTAGCTTGCCAACAACAAGGTTTGGGAAGGCTGCTTCAGGGTTACTGGTGGTATAAGTCGCAAAAACAGTGTCACACCGTTGCGTTGAGCTAGTTCAACAGTGCATGTGGGACTTGGCCCCGGGGCATGTTAACGGGAACAATATCCTCCTCTCCGGAGAAAAGGAAGAATCACGCGAAGGCATGTTAATGAGAACAATATCCTTGAAGTTCACTCTGGAGAATTTCCTGATGAGCCCCTGGAACTCCGACGAAGCAGTCTGACACAATCATGCTTCTCTTTTGTAGAGTTGTGTATAGCCAACATGACAACACATACACACACACGCGCCATTTAACTGACCAGCCCATCCACCTCCTGGGCTGGTCATTTCAATGACGTTGCCCGTTTTTATTGATAACAAAGGGAAAAGGACAGACTGCTGTTTGCAGATTCCTAGCCCCTAACAAACAACTAGTCTCAGACAAACAGAAAATAAAACGTTGTCGAGCGCATCGGTCCGACACCGCACCAGGGCAGCGTGGGACCCTCCCAGCCGCGTCACGCAGGAGTTGGATTTAAATCCTTCGTCGCGAATATACATGGAGCTTCTGCAAGCCGCTCCGGCCGAGTGCGCCAGCCATACCTCCCGCGAGCCCCTAAGACAGGATAGGGCCTACACAAGGCACGACTTACCTCCACCTTACGGGAGTTGTCACCTCCCTTCGGTTCCACAGTACGAAAGCTAATCAGTTGCAATCGCAGAGGTGGACCAGCCGAGGGCATTTCTCGTTCGCTATAGCATAGGGGGTACGCGCGGTATTATGCCTCTATCCGACCCGCACGTGAACTGACATCTTGGGGGGCTGAAGTCCCAAGCGTGGCCTGTCGTCGGTCGACTAGGACGCATCCCTCTCACCACGCATACACCACTCTACGAACGCAAAAATAAAACGCACACACACACACACATATCGAACAACGCGACACTCCTAGTCCCTTCAGTAGTCATCCCATAACTCTCCGATGCGGAAATCGAATAGGCGTCGCGCGCGAGACTTAATATAAACCGCGCGGACGCAGGGCTAACTCATATCGACTCGCGATACGAACATACGCAAGCAGTCGCAATGGTGGCGTACTATGTAGTACCCATACTCATGCAATCCTCGTTGTCTTGTGCATCGGTCCGGCACCGCACGTGGCAGCGCGGGACCCTCTCGACCACGTCACGCAGGAGTTGGACCAACCTCGTCACGAACATATCAATGAAGCTTTCTTAAGCCGCTCCGGCCGAGTGAGCCAGTCATACCTCTCGCAAGCCCCTACGACCGGATAGGGCCTACGCGAGGCACAACTTACCTCCACCTTACGGGACTTGTCACCTCC